TGTTCACTACCTACAATGAGGCTGCAAATGGTGAACAACTTTTTATGGGAAATTCTTCTACTTCTACTGTGGCTGGACAAGGGAAAGTGATCTTGAAGATGACATCAGGGAAAGAACTGACCCTCAACAATGTACTGCATGTACCTGACATCCGGAAGAATTTAGTTTCTGGGTCTTTGTTAAGTAAAAATGGTTTTAGGCTTGGATTTGAGTCTGATAAATTTGTATTAACAAAGAGTGGTATGTATGTTGGTAAGGGATACATGAGTGATGGTCTCTTTAAGTTAAATGTAATGACAGTTGTACCAAAAGTTTCTATGAATAAGAATAACACATCTTTTGCTTATATTCTTGAGTCGAATTTATGGCATGGTAGATTAGGACATGTAAATTATGATGCTTTTCATAGATTAATTGGTTTGGATTATATACTAAAGTTTGAAATTAATCCTAATCATAAATGTGAAATTTGTGTAGAAGCGAAACTAACTAAGGCTCCATTTAAATCGGTTGAAAGGAAAACCGAACCTCTAGAATTAATTCATACTGATGTATGTGATTTAAAATTTATTCAAACTAGAGGAGGCAAAAAGTATTTCATAACTTTTATCGATGATTGCACAAAATATTGTTATGTTTATTTACTTAGAAGTAAAGATGAAGCCTTAGAAATGTTTAAACTCTACAAAATAGAAGTTGAAAATCAACTTGGTAAAACCATTAAAATGGTTACAAGTGATAGGGGTGGTGAATATGATGCACCATTAAATGAATTTTGTGCACAACATGGCATTATTCACCAAACTACGGCACCCTATTCTCCTCAACAAAATGGAATTGTTGAAAGGAAGAATAGAACCCTAAAAGAAATGATGAATGCCATGTTACTAAGTTCAGGCTTACTACAGAACTTGTAGGGGGAAGCAATATTGTCTGCTATTTATGTTCTTAACAAAATACCCCACAAGAAAACCAACAGCACTCCTTATGAATTGTGGAAAGGTCGACCGCCTTCCTACAAATACTTAAAAGTGTGGGGGTGTTTGGCAAAAGTTGAAGTTCCTGTTCCTAAAAAGACTAAGATTGGACTAAAAACAGTAAATTGTGTGTTTATTGGTTATGCTCAGAATAGTAATGCATATCGGTTTCTGACTTATAAATCAGAAATACCTTATATAAATGTGAACACTATTATAGAGTGAAGGAATGCTGTGTTTTTTGAACATGTCTTTCCTTACAAGGAAGGACATGAATTAAGTTCATAGAAAAGAACTTATGATTGTACACAAAGTCAAGAGACTAATAACAATCAAACACAAGAGACTAGTAATGGTCTCGACCAACAGGATTTAACTAATGATGAACCAAGACGAAGTAAGAGAGCAAGAACATCAAAATCCTTTGGTCCAGATTTTCTGACATACTTGTTAGAAAATGAACCTCAAAGCTTTAAGGCAGCAATGACAGGTCCTGAAGCACCTTTGTGGAAAGAGGCTGTTAATAATGAAATTGAATCGAGTCATTCCAAGTCGCTGCTTTAGTGGAAAAGTTACCACCGACTTGGAAAGATTTCAAAAATTATTTAAAACATAAACGCAAAGAGATGACTATGGATGAATTGAGTGTAAGATTAAGAATTGAAGAAGATAACCGAATGGGAAATTGAAGCCAAAGTGTGCTCC